CTTTTCTTCATTTTCTTCCCCCCCCCCTTTCTTTTTTCTCAGACCGGATCGAGCCCCCTTAATTCGCCAACTTTTCCGATACCACTTCGACTTACTAACTACTTTCGAATCTAGCTCTCTCTCGAGTCGAGGATCTTGCAAGAGCGTGTTCTTTCGTTACCGTTCCATGCGGGCTCTGTCGCGTGATTATTCCGCGGAGCAACGATTCGCGGCTTTCTGTCCAAGTACAGTAATGTCTCTCTAATCGACGTTCAAGTTTTGCAGAAAAATGTACAATTCGCGAAGAGGAAATATCTTGCGGCTCGTTTTTATAATTGTTGGAAATTCGTAACTATAGAAACGAACTGCAAAGCTCGAATAATCGTATCTTCTTTTCCAAAATTGTCCAGATTTGTGGACAATCTGAGCGTCAGTTAGGAAGACATTATTGTACAGTGAATTCTCCCTAATTGTCCTTTAGCTTGTAGACAAAAATGGAGAATTTGGGGAGAGGAGATGCGATTGTTCGAGCCTTGTGGCTCGTTTTTATAATTGTCGGCAATCGATAACCATAAAAAACGAGCCACAAGGCTCGAACAATCGTATCTCCTCTTCCAAAATTGTCCGTTTTTGTGGACAATACGAGCGTCATTTAAAGAGACATTATTGTACAATCATTTCTCCGCGAGTGTCAAGCACTTTTCTGTGCCATGAGTATCGCGGTGCTATTGCTACGCCTATGCGATTTATCGATTTTCTCGCTACGCGAAAGTTCGTCGGAATAGGTCGAACGTATGACGCGGCACGTGTCGTGACTTCTTTGACTCGAATTCGCGGAATATAACGCGAAATGGGCTGCTTTTGTTGTGCGATTCTGGTAAGAAAAATCGCGGAGCTACAAGGTACGTGGTAGGTATACAGGGTGTCCCAAAATTATGGTATTTCCGGGGAATTGGAGATTACTGAGGCCATTCGAAGCAACTTTTTCCTTTACAAGATTTTTCACCGACGCGTCGTTAACGAGTTATTCAAGAGAAACACTGACCAATGAGAGGCGAACTCGGATGACGCGAGGCGGCCGAGCCGACGGCGCCAGCGGTCGAGCGGTCGAGTCCCAGCTTAGCTGACGCGAGGCGGCCGAGCCAACGGCGCCAGCGGTCGACCGGTCGAATCCCAGTTCCGCTGATTGGCTCGGCCGCCTAGCGCTAGGCGAGCTCGCCTCTCATTAGACACCGTTTTTCGTTAATAATTCGTAAACAAAGCTGCGGATTGCATTTTTGCTAAGAAAAAAGTTACTTCAAATCACCTCAGGAACTCCTCATTTCCCGAAAATACCATAATTTTCGGACATCCTGTAGTACAATCGTGGCATATAGCCTCCGAATTGTCTTCGAATAGTGGCATGTGCCCTCCGAATTGCCTTCGAATCTGCGTGCAATCGTTGCATCCTAAGGGAAATTTTCAGCATGTTTATGCTTAAACACATTTTAACAGCAATGCCTAATCGACGATTTATAGAAATGAACGATTCGAAGGATTTATCGCGCTAAATTTCTCGGTAAAAATAGCCTATTGAAAAATTAGCCTACATCTTTTGCCTATCTTTAGCCTATTGAAAAAATTAGCCCACATCCTTTGCCTATCTTTAGCCTATTGAAAAAATTAGCCCACATCTTTTGAGATAGCCGTGCGAATTTCGATGCTTCGTTTGAACGTAGCACAGCCATTTAGAAGCTACTAAACAGGTTTTCCTAATAATAATATAATAAGTAGACTGCGGATCTTAATGCATTCATCGACTGCAATAATCAAAACCTGCATAGCCATTAATTCTTGTCTCGAACAATACGAACGACTTACAAATAATATAAACAATTCGTCAAGCTCCTTTAACAATGGTCTGCGCATCGTATTTCATGCGCTAATTTTATCGCGAATACACGAAGATCCACGGTCCAGCGATAAGAAAGCGTTGCCTGTAAGAACGAAGACGGGTTCGGAGAAAACGGGGCTGAGAATAGCGTATAATTTTATTAGGAGCCACCCTCGAGTAATCTTAGCGCAAGGGCAGATTGAAACTTTGCTTAGATTGTAATTTCGCGGGGCTGCGCGTCAACCGCGGGTGCAATTCGAATTGATGCCCGACGCGGGACCCGTACACCATTGCGTAGCGTCGTTACCCTTTATAGACAGTTGCGACCCGGTAAGATGGTTCGCCACTTATTTCTGCCGCCCATAATCGAGCGGAATAATCAACCGGCACCCCCGAGGGCCGTACGATTGTGTCACGCGGAAACTACCCCGGCCGGCTAACTAACTGTGTTGCAAATTTTTAAGGGACGTTCTACCGGCGAACCGGAGCCCGCATCTACGCGCGTAAAATATGCGATCGTTTGCTTCGAATACGATGCTGCATCGTTTCAAATTTTGCTAAAATATGTCGAAAATGTCGCGAAGAATTAATTGTCTCCGACGATTTTATCGTTCGCTGGGAATGGTGACTGATGCACGCCGATTTTTATGAGACATTTCACGAGTGTTTCAGCCGTTTTTGACGAGCGTACTCGTCGCGATAAAAAATCTTGCCATTTCTTCGCGACGAGTATATTCGTCATAAACATTTAACTGGTTGAGAAGAACATATATACGTTAATGTTTTTTTATC